GGGGGGGGGGGGGGGGGGGGATGACAAGGAAATGAGATACAAAGATGCATGGAATGGAAAGAGGGAAAGGTGGTGGGAAAGGGAACAATGGAAGAAGATGGCAGGGAAAGAGAAGAAAAGGGGAGGAAACAGAAGGGAGGAAAATGGGGAAGACAGTAGGGGAAGAAAAATGGGAGTGGAAAAGGATTGGAAAAGGGAGAGGGGAATGCAAGAAGGGAAAAAGGAAGGAAGGAAAAGAAGGAAATAGGCAAAGATGGGAGGGTAAGCTTAAGATGGAAGGGGAAAAGGGGAAAGTAGGAATGAAGTTTAATTGTACAAAGATATAAGGTGAGGCTCATTACTTTGAACATTGTTGTCTCGTAAATGAAAATTATTGTGGTAAAAAAATATAAAATCTGATGTTCCTTCAAAAGCTAGTATTTGCCACATAAATGTTAACATAATTTCTACAACCAGATGGGGCTGTACAACTTCCGTCCCTCTGTAAGACCTGTCCCTCTGGAGGTACACATCAATGGTTTCCCTGGACAACACTACTGCCCCCGAATGGCCACCATGAACAAGCCAACATTCCAAGGTAGGAAAACAAATATTTCCTCACTTACTGACTCACCAATACAGTTTCCTTAAGTTTTGTATGCTATAAATGATTAGTCCAGATAAACTGACTAATGTTTCAACTTTAACAAAAGTTTGAAGGCCTCAAGCTTTCTTTGTTTTTTAAAAGAGAATGTATTGAAGGCATGATTGCTTCTCCAGACATCAAAAATTGTAATAATATGCTGTTACAACAATCAAAACTAGACATCACGAAAGGGAGACTTCCATGTATATGACGCCACCATTATTTCACACGGCTATACAAAATGCTTTACGTAATGGAAATCGAGCGTTCACCTGAGACTTGTAGAGAGATGAATTTATTACATTAAAAGGGACCTCCCTGTGGATGATGTCATACACTGTAGGTAATATAACACTCATGTGTTGTCTTTATCGTCCCTCACCTCATCTGTATCGTACATGTAAAGTAAATCACATCTACACTACATTGACAGCTGATATAGGTCATTAAGCATACTTTTTTCATTTTTTATTACTGGTAATTAGGAAGAAATTGAAATTGAAAATATGACACCGGTTCTATTCACCCTGGGAATACTTAGGCTACATTGTCATCATCAGTGTTAAAAGTGTATGGGAATAGGTACCTGATATATGTTGTGGTAGATAATCAATGGTGGTGGGAACTGGTACCTGATATATGTTGTGGTAGAGAATCAATGGTGGTGGGAACTGGTACCTGATATATGTTGTGGTAGAGAATCAATGGTGGTGGGAACTGGTACCTGATATATGTTGTGGTAGAGAATCAATGGTGGTGGGAACTGGTACCTGATATATGTTGTGGTAGAGAATCAATGGTGGTGGGAACTGGTACCTGATATATGTTGTGGTAGAGAATCAATGGTGGTGGGAACTGGTACCTGATATATGTTGTGGTAGAGAATCAATGGTGGTGGGAACTGGTACCTGATATATGTTGTGGTAGAGAATCAATGGTGGTGGGAACTGGTACCTGATATATGTTGTGGTAGAGAATCAATGGTGGTGGGAACTGGTACCTGATATATGTTGTGGTAGAGAATCAATGGTGGTGGGAACTGGTACCTGATATATGTTGTGGTAGAGAATCAATGGTGGTGGGAACTGGTACCTGATATATGTTGTGGTAGAGAATCAATGGTGGTGGGAACTGGTACCTGATATATGTTGTGGTAGAGAATCAATGGTGGTGGGAACTGGTACCTGATATATGTTGTGGTAGAGAATCAATGGTGGTGGGAACTGGTACCTGATATATGTTGTGGTAGAGAATCAATGGTGGTGGGAACTGGTACCTGATATATGTTGTGGTAGAGAATCAATGGTGGTGGGAACTGGTACCTGATATAGGTTGTGGTAGAGAATCAATGGTGGTGAGAACTGGTACCTGATATATGTTGTGGTAGAGAAGCAATGGTGGTGGGAACTGGTACCTGATATATGTTGTGGAAGAGAATCAACTGGGGACATGGTCTTTCAAATTTTATTTAATGTTAATCTCTTAATTGGGACATGTTTTTAAGTTAAAAGTACAATTCTGTATATCGCAGTCACCTATGGGAAATTATGATGTTGGGTGCTTAAAACAGGTGGCTGCTTAAAACAGGTGGCTGCTCAATCAAGGTGCAATTAAAAGACAAATTACCAAATATTTTTGTTGTTGTCCTTTAATTCTTCCCACTTTCACCCCAAAACAAGATATTATGTCTCTTTAAAACAACTCAAGTTATTAGTACTATTGATGGTTTTATTTCATGTCTCAAAAGTTACTCTGGTAAACTTAGTGTGTTGATCTCTTCAGTCTCTTGTGTGACCGTGCCGCTGCTTTAGGGAAGGTATATAACCTGGTAGTCCTGGTGTGGCCCACTGTGTGTTGTAAGAGGCTAGTAATGAGAGGATATAACCTGGTAGTCCTGGTGTGACCCACTGTGTGTTGTAAGAGGCTAGTAATGAGAGGATATAACCCGGTAGTCCTGGTGTGGCCCACTGTGTGTTGTAAGAGGCTAGTAATGAGGGGATATAACCCGGTAGTCCTGGTGTGGGCCACTGTGTGTTGTAAGAGGCTAGTAATGAGGGACCTCCTGTAGAATTGGGGGTTTATTTTTTGTATTCTGCTTAAGGGGCATTGACAAATCCAAAATTAATCTGCTACCCCACAGTAATACTTGGAATCTATATCATTTCTTTTTTCACTTCTCTCTTCTGTCTATTCATCAATGTCTCCCTAGGCACATGTTTTCACATGACCTTATTGTGAGGATGTTAAACCCCAAACAAATAGTCAAGAATTTTGATAACATTTTTCTTAAATCTGTTTATCCTTTTTGTAGCCATAAAGTCTCACTCCCCTGAGAAACCAGTGCTGATCTTTGTGTCGTCACGGCGACAGACGCGATTGACTGCTCTAGATCTCATTGCTTTCCTGGCAGCAGAAGAGAACCCAAAACAATGGCTGCACATGGCCGAAATGGAGGTAGGAAATTTGTTTTGTTTTCTCAGCACATAGCATAAAAAACCCCCTCATTTTTCAGATAAAGAAGAAAAACACTCATACAAACTTAACTTTTACTGTATAGTTGATGATCTAATCTCGCGACTTTTGAAGACGTTTTTTGTCCAGAAGAAAAAAAAGCTGACGGGAAGAGTTGAAGGCCTTAAGAGAAGGTTAGTATAAGAAAAGTGAAGGTCACATAGAAAATTACAATGTACAGTAAAAATGGAAACTTCTACACAAACCAGAAATGAAAATTTTCAGCCTTTTGGCTGATTTCAGCATTTTTCAGAATTTAACTATGTAATGAAAACATAATTTTTCCCACAGAAAAGATTCAAAATTTAATTTTGAGCATTTTCACCCATAATCCCATTTTCATCTTTGATTAATGGTCAATGACAACAGATTATTGATTAAGGTTGGGGAATACATTGATACCAACAAAGGTCAGAGCACCTTGCTAAAAAGGTCAGAAAACAGTAGGACTGTTAATCCCACATTCTTGTATAAACATGTCTGAGTGTCATGGTCAACGTTATGTTTATAAAACTTGAAGGTCATGTAGGTTGTGAGTGGGTGAAGGTCAAGATTAAACATGTTGGTATTTAAGACTGAAATATTCTGCTTTTCATGAAGGAAAGGTTCAATCACTTAAAGAAGTGAAGTAGAATGTCTTTTGTAAGTGGACTTCAAATGTGTTTAAACAAAGTTGAAGGTCAACCCTTTTATCAGGAGTATACTGAAATGACCTGGAGCAGTCAGTGTGAGCGCCCTACACACTGTACTAAACAATCATGTCATGTCAGACATGTTACTTGTTTTACTGTCTGTTGATAAGGACCAGAAAGATCAAATTGTTTACAAGTTCTCAGACGCCAAACTGACAAGAGATACCCTGTCATGAAATAATTAGTGTTAATGGAACACAGGAAAAATCAATGGGGAAGTTGGTAAATCCTGATATCACTGAAGCTGTGTGTTAAACACATCAGTTACATGAGACTACCTGGCCAAGGTCTTCCCATACAAGTATTGATGAGGAAAAGCAGGTAGCTTCTAATCAAGCCTCCCTTATCACAGAAACCGTACAGTTTAGGAAACATCTCACCACTTAATCTGGAATAATTAAAGATTTTCCTTAATGATGATAGGTGGTACAATTTAGATTGCACTTGAAATTGATTATGTGTCGTACCAACGAGTTTGGAATCATTAGTTTGTATGTGGAAGGCGAGGTAAGGAGTGTTTATAATCTGTAAAAGGCTACAAATCTACTCAGGGGTGTGGGGAGCTTGTAACAAGCTCTGGGAAACATCTACATGTATAAGATATATTAGGCTACATATCTCCTCAGGGGTGTGGGGAGCTTGTAACAAGCTCTGGGAAACATCTACAGGTATAAGATATATTAGGCTACATATCTACTCAGGGATGTGAGGGAAGCTTGTAACAAGTTCTAGTAAACATCTACAGGTATAGGGTATACTAGGCTACACATCTACTCAGGGGTGTGGGAAGCTTGTACAAGTTCTGGTAAACATCTACAGGTATAAGGTATACTAGGCTTCATATCTACTCAGGGATGTGAGGGAAGCTTGTAACAAGTTCTAGGAAACATCTACAGGTATGAGGTATACTAGGCTACATATCTACTCAGGGGTGTGAGGGAAGCTTGTAACAAGTTCTAGTAAACATCTACAGGTATATGGTAAACTAGGCTACATATCTACTCGGGGTGTGGGAAGCTTGTAACAAGTTCTAGGAAACATCTACAGGTATAAGGTATACTAGGCTACACATCTACTCAGGGGTGCGGGGAGCTTGTAACAAGTTCTAGGAAACATCTACAGGTATGAGGTATACTAGGCTACATATCTACTTAGGGGTGTGAGGGAAGCTTGTAACAAGTTCTAGTAAACATCTACAGGTATAAGGTACACTAGGCTTCATATCTGCTCAGGGGTGTGAGGGAAGCTTGTAACAAGTTCGAGTAAACATCTACAGGTATACGGTAAACTAGGCTACATATCTACTCGGGGGGTGGGAAGCTTGTAACAAGTTCTAGGAAACATCTACAGGTATAAGGTATTCTAGGCTTCATATCTACTCAGGGGTATTGGAAGCTTGTAACAAGTTCTAGTAAACGTCTACAGGTATAAGGGATACTAGGCTACACATCTACTCAGGGGTGCGGGGAGCTTGTAACAAGTTCTAGGAAACATCTACAGGTATAAGGTATACTAGGCTTCATATCTACTCAGGGGTATTGGAAGCTTGTAACAAGTTCTAGTAAACGTCTACAGGTATAAGGTATACTAGGCTACACATCTACTCAGGGGTGCGGGGAGCTTGTAACAAGTTCTAGGAAACATCTACAGGTATAAGGTATACTAGGCTTCATATCTACTCAGGGGTTTGGGAAGCTTGTAACAAGTTCTAGGGAACATCTACAGGTATAGGGTATACTAGGCTTCATATCTACTCAGGGGTATTGGAAGCTTGTAACAAGTTCTAGTAAACGTCTACAGGTATAAGGGATACTAGGCTACACATCTACTCAGGGGTTTGGGAAGCTTGTAACAAGTTCTAGGGAACATCTACAGGTATAGGGTATACTAGGCTTCATATCTACTCAGGGGTGTGAGGGAAGCTTGTAACAAGTTCTAGTAAACATCTACAGGTATACGTTATACTAGGCTACACATCTACTCAGGGGTTTGGGAAGCTTGTAACAAGTTCTTGGGAACATCTACAGGTATAGGGTATACTAGGCTACACATCTACTCTGGGGTTTCGGGAAGCTTGTAACAAGTTCTAGTAAACATCTACAGGTATGAGGTATACTAGGCTACATATCTACTCAGGGATGGGAGGGAAGCTTGTAACAAGTTCTAGTAAACATCTACAGGTATACGGTAAACTAGGCTACAAATCTACTCAGGGGTTTGGGAAGCTTGTAACAAGTTCTAGTAAACATCTACAGGTATAGGGTATACTAGGCTACACATCTACTCAGGGGTTTGGGAAGCTTGTAACAAGTTCTAGTAAACATCTACAGGTATAGGGTATACTAGGCTACACATCTACTCAGGGGTGTGGGAAGCTTGTAACAAGTTCTAGTAAACGTCTACAGGTATACGTTATACTAGACTACACATCTACTCAGGGGTTTGGGAAGCTTACAACAAGCTCTAGTAAACGTCTACAGGTATGAGGTATACTAGGCTACATATCTACTGGGGTGTGTGGGGCGCTTACAACAAGTTCTAGTAAACATCTACAGGTATACGTTATACTAGGCTACATATCTACTCAGGGATGTGGGGGGTGTGGGGAGCTTACAACAAGCTCTAGTAAACATCTAAAGGAATGAGGCTTCTATTAACATGAATACTGCAGTGAATTGTTGAGATGTTAGTGGAAAATATGTGTGAGGAAACCAGTATTCTGTTTTTAGTAAAAGAATTTGTAGAATGACTATAATTTGAATAAGATGATAACCAATAATGATTATTATCTGAAAAATGCATCCTGACATCAGTTTCATTACTAGGGAAATTAGCAAGTAACTTGATAACCAGTAGGTGCTATAAAGATACCTTTTTAGGGTATTTATGATATTAACCTTACATTGGTATTTCTGTGTGACCTTTAATACACGTGTATAGAACTTGTAACACTTTACACTGTTATTTCTATTAGACTTGTAATTACAATACATTGCCTTTTCTTTACAAATTTAAAACTTAACATGTTTTTTTTCTATAGGACTTTACACTTTATGTAAGATTCAGACCCTAAGTTTTAGTGAGCAGCAATGTGTAGTCCAAGTTATCAAATAGCTTCTTCTTGTGTTAATATAGAAATCTTGCAGTGAAGTCATTGATACCAAATACAGACATATACATCAAGGGTGCTTCATCTTCCAAGTTTTATTGGGTTAATGACAGAAATCTACCTGGTGAACCCACACCCTTCTCCATGTTCTTCTATACGACTGCATACATATAATAAATATTGATCCTTCTTCATATACAAAGTTTCTTTTTGCTAATAAAAAGAAATAGATTTCTTGACTTCCTTTTACCAATGTTGTCTGGTACCTAATGGAATCTATGTATAGTTAACAGACTGGAGAAACCGTTTCATTATCACAGCATTTTAAACTGACTTGGTGTCAGTTGCTAATGGAAGGGAGAAGTGTGTAATACCTACTGAAGTCCTAGCCTGATTGCTGATACAGAGCAATACTTCTAAGCTAGATTCGCTTGTGGTGCTAGAAGCTTCTAAAAACATCAAAGTCATGTTTAAATCATTTCAAAATTACTTTCGAGTTTGTGGTCTTGAGTATTTGGTCTATGAGAAACTTTCAATATTTTGACCCATGAGAAAGCTTTAGTGCTTGATCTTTTGGAAACTATTAGAACTATGAAGGATAGCTTTTGTTCTTTGAACCGGATCAAGTGGAAACTGTAAGAGCTTGATCTATGGAAAAGTTTAAGATCTTGGTCTATGGGAAATTTTTTGTACTAGATCTTGATCTTACAGAAACTTTAAGAGCTTGGTCTATGGGAATGTTTAAAAACTTGGTCTATGGGGAACCTTGATTACTGGTTCTTGGTTAATGGGAAAACCTTTAGTACTTGATGTTTTGGAGACTTTTAGTACTTGATCTGTGGGTAACCTTGAGTGCTAATGGTGTAATGGAAACTTGAGGGCCTTGTTTGCTTGAAAACCTCTGAGATTTAAACCACCAGTCAGAAAGGTGTTTGTAAAGTATAGGTCAAAACAATTATCATATTTGATAATAATTTTTACTGCAAGTATTCAGAAATAATATCTCACTTTGAGGACTTCATCCTGAGGTGATACTGGCAAAATGATATATATTTTGCAGATTGAATATTGATTCTCTGTCTATCTGTGATAACTGTCTCAGCTACATTGTTGTATTTACGCATAGCAATTAGGAAGTTCCT